ATTTTTCAGCAGTATGTAAAACTGCATTGAACAGAAATGAAGTCACATTGTTTATTGCAGTGTTTTCACTCCTGTAATAAGTGCATTCCAGGAATAGTTCAGTCCAGCAGGCCCCTCACACAAAATATATGACCTACTGAAAGAAGCCGATGTGACAGCAGTTTGTCAAAGTCACATAAAACTACTTGAGTTATTTGTGCTTTCTGTTAGTTATTTGAATATTCAAATCTATTGGGTGGGTTTCATTCTGGTTGACCATGAGCTTTACGATGGCCAGTTTAGATGAACTCAGATGAACCTGAATGGCTGTGTTTTGGCCTTTTTCTGACAATGGTGGCAGTAAAGAAAGAAACAAACAAACAAAAACACTCTGCTTCAACCTTCCAGGCTTGTCTGGAATATTTTAACATGTTTGAACATGTTTGAGTGCAAACAAGGTAACAAATCCTCTGCACGGAACTTAAATACAGCATTTTATTTTACTGCAAAATTTCTGTTTATTTGAGTTAGACTTTCTTTCACTTGGTGCCCAAACATATGCTTATGACCGTATACATATCTCATATATATATATATATATATATATATATATATATATATACTGATCATCATATCAGCTTCTATACAGCTTCTATTCTGTTCAGGAGATTTGCTTTCAAAGAAATCTGCAGCGATATAACAAACAAACTATATACAACCACATTTCCAAAAAAGTTGGGACGCTGTGCAAAAGTGTAAGTAAAAACAAAATGGAGTGATGTGCATATTATTTAAACCATATATTTCATTGGAAATAGTACAAAGACAACATATCAAATGTTGAAACTGAGAAATTTTTTTGTTTTTTTGAAAAATATTTGCCCATTTTGAATTTGATGCCAACAACATGTTCCAAAAAAGTTGGGACGGGGCAACAAAAGACTGGTAAAGTTGTGTAATGCTAAAAAGACATCTGAAAGTTAATTGGCAACAGGTCAGTAACATGATTGGGTATAAAAAAGCATCTCAGAGTTTTCTCAACATAATAAAAAATAGCAAAGAACTTTTGCTTTTCATCATCTATGGTACATAAAATCATTAAAAGATTCAGAGAACATGGATAAATCTCTGTATGCAAAGGACAAGACTGAAATCCTATAATAGCTGGCCGTGATCTTCAGGCGTCTGACGAATCAACATTTGAAATTCTTTTTGGAAATCATGGACACTGTGTCCTCCGGACTGAAGACCACTCAGCTTGTTATCAGCACACAGTTCAAAAGCCAGTATTCATGATGGTATAGGGCGCATTAGTGCACATGGCATGGGTGACGTGCACATCTGTGAAGGCATCATTATTGCTGAACGATATATACATGTTTTGGCAACTTATGCTGCCATTTAGATGACGTCTTCTTCAGAGAAGGCCTTGCTTATGTCAGCAAGACAATGTCAAACCACATTCTGCATGGATCTGTATTAAAAGAGTCTCGGTGCTAAACTGACCTACCTGCAGTCCAGACTTGTCACCTCTGAAAAGGTTCGGCACATTATGAAATGAAAAATACAACAAAGGAGCTGTTGAGCAGATGAAATTCTATGTTAAGCAAGAAAAGGAAAACATATCACTTTCAAATCTACATTGGTCTCCTTTGGTTCCCAAATGCTTACAGAGTGTTGTTAAAAGAAGAGGTGAACATGTCCCCGTCCCAACTTTTTTGGAACATGTTGTTGGCATCAAATTCCAAATGGGCATATACTTTTCAAAAAACAATAAAATTTCTCAGTTTCAACATTTGATTTGTTGTCTTTGTAGTATTTTCAATTAAATATAGGGTTTAAATAATTTGCACATCATTGCATTTAGTTTTTAATTACACACACACATATATATATATATATATATATATATATATATACAACATTTATATATACAAGACACCGATCATTATATCATATCATGCGAAGCTATTAAGCTATTAAACCATAACAGCAGGACAATAGGTCCATTGACCTCATCAGTAACTGAACACAATGTGACACTGATCTGATCGTTATTCTTCCCTATCCAGTAAGAGGCAAACACCTGCACATGGAAGCACTGTTCCACAGTTCTTCTGTTCTTCCATGATCCTTCCATGGTTCTTCAGATTGATGGAGAATATGTTGTATATGGTTCTATATAGCACCAAAAAGGGCTCTGCTATTGTTGTAATGCCAAGCTTATAACAACAAACAAACCCTTTTAGGTGCTATACAGATATTTTCAAAAAGGTTATACATAGAACAATATACAACACATTCTCCATCAATTTGAAGAACCATTTTACCACACAGAGAACCATTTAAGCATGAAAACTCATGGTTCTATATAGAGCCATTCCCTTATTAAAGGACCTTTGAAGAATCATTTTTAGGTGTGTAGATTTACCTGAGTAATATTCTACAAGAAATAGAATGTTATTAGATTTGCACTTGTAAGTGTAACAGATGAGTAAATAGACGGAAACCAATTAAGTTTAATTGTTAAGTGTAATTGTGACATTTCCCAGTAAAGAGAGTTTAGTGAAAGATCGTGCAGCAGGTTTTGTCTATGCGTTGTATTGTACACATGTCAGACAAACATAGCTATGCAAAGCAGAGTTCAAGTCTTAGGTGTGGTTCCTTCCTTAATAAGGTAAACAAACCTCTCTCACGCAGGAGATTTAATGGAGAAATCAAGTTCTACATCACAACTGAGAATCAATCTTCTTTTGCCATTATGTTATGTCAATAAACTGTCTTGAGTGAGTTTATTGTTCACTGTCATTCAAACAGTGACAGCTGAGTATTGTTTTGTCTGTGTAAAACAGGGGGAATGAGCAAGATATGTGGATGTTAAATGTGAACTATGAACCAAGTCTGTTTGTTTGATACTACTAGTGAGTAATAAAGACACTCACGTACAACGTTACTCAATATCACTGAGGCCTGTTAATCTTCAAACCTTAGTGACATGATTGGTGCTATTAAAACTTTAGCACATCTGTGTCTGAAGTGTTTAAATGGATTGAGCAAAATCTATTCGAATTTCTTCATAATTAAAGAATTAAAGTGTGGTTTAGAGGAGTCAGAATTGTTCACAGTGGTGGTGAGAGGAACCAGACATCTGAAGAGTTGAATGCCTGTAAAAGCTATGTTACCTCAGAGAAAGTTGTTACGTGAAATGGTAATGAATACACCGCCTGAGACACTGTTTTACAATAGTTTTAATAAAAGATTTTGGCCTAAAAGGTATTTTTTTAACACCATTCATGGCAGTGAGGGCACTGTAAGCCACAATAGTACCCAATAACGTCTTATTTTTAATTGTTTTATTAAATTTGCCACTATTTTACCACAAGAAATTTGATGTTTCTTGTTGAGTCCCACAAGGTTCAGTTTTAGGGCCTTTGCTTTTCTTTTTTGTACACGGTGCAAGGTGATGTCATTTGGAAACATGATCAATTTTTATAGCTATGCTGATGACATGTAATTATACATTTCCATTCCTGAGAATCAAGACTCTGTTGGCAGGCTTATCAGCTGTGTGTCAGACAGTTCTCAGTGGATGTCACACCTAAATCAAGGAAAAACTGAAATACTAATCCTTGGTCCTAAAATTCAGAGAAAGCTGCTTTACAAGAAGCTAGGCGCTTTTGCTTCGCTGACCAAACTTGAAGTATGAAAACTGGTGTAATCTTAGACTCTGAGCTCTGTTTTAACCTGCATTTAAAGTCACTAAAGTGTTTATCATTTGAGAAATATCGCTAAAGTTTGCCCTTTATATCACTGTCAGAGAAATTTACAGTGCAGGTACATTTTTCATTCGTCAAGGTACAAACAATGCAAATGTACCTTCAAAGGTGCAATAATGGTTTTAAGGTCCAATCTGTGAGTTCAGACTATACCTTCAACATGTGGTGGTAGTATAACAGAAGACTGATTGAGGGGAAGGGGAGAACTCTGAGAAATTGGGCTAGAGTTCTGGGTAGCTTCTGCCTGTAGCTAGAAGGCAGGACCCCCTCATAGCTGTAGCAGGACTGATGTAGGACTGAGGAACAGGTGGGAGATGGGCTGCGAACACTTCAGCACAGAAACGGAAGGTGAGGATGTGAATTTATAGGGTGTTAAATTGGAGGAAGAAGAAGCGGTTTCAGGCATGTACCCCCCCCCCACCTCCCCCAAGCTGCATTTATAACACAACTACACTTGGGTGCCATAAATAGGTTTTTCTCATGACCCAATGCTTTAAAACAGAACAATAAAATAAAGGCCTGGAGACAGACAGTGTGTGCGGACTCAATACAACTTAAAAATATGTACACTTAATGAAAAATGGTACAATTATGTTCCCTAAACAAAGGTACTGAAGATGTACCCTTATGTGACAAGAGGGGTACCACCCCAATGACAATGCATTACCTTCTTTTCTGAGAGCGTATCACTCCCATTTTGAAAGAACTGCATTATCTACCTGTGTCACTTAGAATAGATTTTAAAGTTCTACTAGTTTTTAAAGCTCTGAATGAGCATGCTGGGTGACCAGCTAAACAGCACCAGACCAGCCCTAGACCAGCATAAACCAGCTTAGACCAGCTTAGACCAGTATGGAATTCATTATTATTATTATTATTATTAATATTATTATTTTTATTATTATTGTTATTATTGTATTATAGCATATGTTGGATAGCATATAAAATGCCTACACTTGTAGACATCATCATACCTGCTTCCTATCACCACCGCTTAGTTTCTCTAGTCAACCATTTCACATCAAACCTCTCTGACTTCCCTCTACACCTCAGCGACTAAATTCTGACATTTGACTAATTTCCCTTTTAAAACTGCTGACTTCTGACAGGCTGAAGGAACACGTTGTAGTCATTTCATGTCAGTTACAGACAGAACTCCTGTGACTCGTCACCTTCAAAACAATTTTTTCCACACATTTTTTCCCCTTTATTTTCCCACCCGTATTCCGTCAAGTCCCGCACCCCTCAGGCTGTGATTGGCTAGTGGTATCTTACCTGAACCCCTGCGCTAGTTGTACAGTCAGTCTGTCCCTCAGGGCAGAGTAAGTAGCCAATCATAGCGTAGGGAGGCGGGGCTTGTCTGAATACGGGTGGGAAGACAATAACGTCTTTTGGGAGCTAGGTACAGTAAACCGTGCCAACGTCTGCTGTCCGGCTCTGGAAACCGTAGGTAAGTTTTATAAATCTTTTATTACCGAAACTGAGGAAAAAATGTGAAAGAACAGCCTTAAACACATTTGATGAACCAGTTGTAAAATTGTACAGTTTTGTCACGGCGTTTTTTAACCGCTACTTTTAGCGCTTCTGTCAGGAAACCTTCGAGACAAAAATGTGAAAAATTCACTTCTGAGTGAAAACCGTGTTCGTTGGTCGCTTACGTTGGATTTTTATGTGAACATGTGAACTCGCAGAAAGGTACAACCCGACCAAGTCAAGTGCTGCCTGACTCGTTTTTCGTTTCTGTTTCAGGTTCCTTCGTGACAGCGGCTCTAAGAACAGCCTAATAAAACAGCCTTACTCTCGTTTATAAGAACCGTCATGAGAAACACAATATAGCTCGACCGAGTCCAGCCTTAATATTAATGACAGAGAGTCAGTCAGCTCCTGTGGTTGGAATTTGACAGTGTTTATACCATAGATAGGCTTATTAAAGTCCATCATTTACTGTCAACGCGATTCAGAAATATAAATTTAATTTGTGTACATTAGTAATGTAAAAGGCCGTGAAATGAGACCAGTGGAAATACTGTTTACTCGTTACTTTACAGTGAGGATAAAGTTTTCTTAATACCTGAATAACTGAGTGAAATCATGATCATTACTTATACAAACTGTAGATAGATTTCTTCCTCTCTTCTCTCTCTTTCCCTCTCCCACCTTCTTTATTTCTCTCTTTATCTCTCTCTCTCTTCTCTCCTGCTCTCTCTCTCTCTCTCTCTCTCTCTCTCTCTCTCTCTCTCTCTCTCTCTCTCTCAGTTCAGTTTTTGCTTTATTGGCATGACAAATATTAGCACTTGTATTGCCAAAGCTTTTGTTAGGAGTTTATGAACAGTATAGAACATATACATGAAGCAGTAACAGATACAATGCAATAACAGATAATAACAGGTGTTATAATAATAATAATAATAATAATAATAATAATAGCAAAATCTATGTGTTTGTTGGTATGTGTCTCTGACATGGTGTGGTCACTCACTGTTCCTCATTTTCTCACTTTTCACTTTCTCTCTGTTTCTCTTGTTCTCTCTCTCTCCTGCACCCCTTTCCCTGTCTCTCTCTCTCCCATTTTCTCTCTCTCCTTTTCTCTATTTCTCTCTCTTCTTCCCTCTTTCTTTCTCATTTTTTCTCTCTCTGTACTTCTCTCCCTCCCTATTTTCTCTCTCTCTCTCTTTCTCATTTTCTCTCTTTCTCTCTCCCTTACTCTTTTCTCTCTTTCTCTGCCTCCTTTTCTCTTTCTCTCTCTCTCTCCCTCCTTTTTTCTCTCTCTCTCTTCCTCTCTCGCTCTCTCTCTCTTTCTCTCTCTCCCTCCCTCTTTCTCTCTCTCCCCCTCTCTCTCCCATTCTTCCCCTTTTCTGTCTCTGCCTCCTTCCCATTTTGTCTCTCTCTCTCCTTTTCTCTTCCTCCTATTCTCGCTCTCTCTGTCCTCCTCCATCTTTCTTTCTAATTTTCTCTCTCCCCTCTCTCCTTCCCTCTCTCTCTCTTTCTCTCTCTCCCCATCCCTCCCCTTTTCTGTTTCTTGCCTTCCTTCTCATTCTCTCTGCCTCCCCCCTCCCTCTCTCTCTCTCTCTCTCCGTCTCTCTCTCTCTCTCTCTCCCTCTCTCTCTCTCTCTCTCTCTCTCTCTCTCTCTCTCTCTCAGGTGGAATGTAATGTCCCTCGCCCCTGCTCCTCCTGTGTTCACGATGACGTTTCTCTCCGCCTGCACCCAGATGATCCCCTCGTCTATATTATCGTGAGGAGCATCGTGATGTAAGGCAGCAGATAAGTAGCTCCGCGCTCTGTTCCAAAAAACACACCGTCCTTAATCTGCCGATCAGCAGCAGAGGGCAGGTAAACTGCAGGAACACCTGAGAGGCCATGAGGCTCCTTACACTGACACTGTTCTTCATCCTGCACTCACCGCTGCCACTGACCGCAGTCGAGAAGCTGGAGACCATCGAGTTCGATGAGACGAATGCGCTCACCTGTGGCCAGGTAAGCTCAAGCTTCTTTTAGTGCACCCAGCTGCATCACTTTGAAAAGCACTCCATCACTGACATAACAAAACCCCACATCGCAGAAATGGTGACTTTAGAGAAGAAGAAATGTGTTAGTTTATGGTTTGTTACAGTATTTTATTCTAATTTATTTTGGACCCATTTCTATATTAGTCTATTCATTATGAAATGTTCATTCACTCTTTAGGGCAGCTGGCAGTTTCAGATGGTGTAGAAAAACAACAACAACAACAAAATGTTTTCTTTAAAGACAACTAATTACATTACATTGCATTTTACTCTTAGAAGTCAAGAGTTTGTTTTCTTTTTGCTGTGCTATTCAAGTGTAATTCCATAATTCCATATTTAATGTAAATAAGTAAATAGTGAGTTAGTAAGTTACATAATAATTTATGCTTATCTTTAAGATATATTCCGTATCGACAGGCTTTTTTTGTTTGTTTGAATGTCAAAGATAAAAATGTGAAAAATGTACCGCCTGTTTTTGCAAAACAAGTCTCTACTGTCAACAGTAACTTTCCATAACATTCAAATCATAATAACATATTTCCTCTTCTACTTATAAACACAGGTGTGTTGTGAGATGAAAGTTTAGAATCTGCACTTTCTACAGAACTTCTCCTCTTGTTTTTTGAGTTTACGAGTGAGAAATATCTAATAAAACTACAGCATTGCCTGTGATACTTCTAATGGTTAAATGCACTTAAATATCTGCTCCACTTTCAAAGGCACTCGAATAACTGCCATGTACGCAGTTCCCTTTTTAAACAATTAGGCGTACATCATCTCTTACTCATCGTTCACTTTACAAAGTGAACATCAGTCTGTTTTGTTCAAAAGCAAATTGATTTTTTTTACTCTCCACTATGTTTATTCAAACATTTTAAACATTTTAGTTGATCTAACTTTACAATGTTAATAACTGTGTAATACTACAGTCTCAATTTAGGTTTAGATTAATGTTATTTTTATCTGATAGCTTTTTTAAAAACCTCATATTTGTCCCTAATATGAGGGCATATTAGGGCAAGATGATATTTACAATAATGTAGATGATAATCATAACCTGTAGAGAAAATAGTGATAACACTATATTGGCTTTTTGGCATTTAGTTGTATGTATTTATATATTTAATAACATCTGTTGGGTTTATATGGATGATAAAAAAAATAGTATGTAAAATGAAATCATGCTGTTTGAGTGCACTAAATGAATTCCGTGGTAAAATATGTTGCAGTGCAAAAGTCAGAGACCACCCTTAATTTATTTAATTTCCAGTCAAAACAGCCACAACGTGCAAGTTATTGATTTTTCAGTGTCAGGAAAAAGCAGAAAATGATCCCTCAACAGCTAAATGTAATATCACATTTTTCAGCTTTGAGTGTGTCCACCTTTATCATTTACTATAGATCCTGTGCTTGTTTTTAGTTTTTCAAAGAAATCTGCAGGGATTTTTTCTGCACCTCTGAAAGTTAAGTCTTAGAAGTTCATTACATGGTTGCATGGCTGCACGACTGCATGGTTGCATGGCTGCATGGTTGCACGGTTGCACAGCTGTATCGTTGCACAGTTGCATGGTTGCATGGCTGCATGCGTGATGGTTGTTTTAGTCTTATTTTCTCTTGAATTTTTAATCATTTTTGAACTCTTTTTTACTTTGACTTTCCCTCTTCCTTATGCAAGTGGATTAAATCTACATCTAATCTCCTCAGAAATATCTCCTGAAAAATGTATATCCTCAGGAAAAAAGCAGAAAATGAACCCAACAGCTAAATATAAAATCACATTTTTCAGCTTTGTGTCCACACTTTTCCTTTATTACAGCTCCTGTTCTTGTTTTCAGTTTTTCAAAAAAGTCTACAAGGATTTTTTTCCACACCTCTAAAAGTTCAGTCTTAGAAGTTTGTTACACTGTTTGTTGCACGGCTGCATGTTTGCATAGTTGCATGGTTGCACGGCTGCATGTTTGCATGGTCACACGGTTGCATGGTTACGGTTGCATGGTTGCACGGTTGTTAGAAATCCTATTTTCTCTTTTGTTTTGAATCATTTGTGAACAGTTTTGAAAACCCCTGTTTTTTCACTTATTTTACTTTCACGTTCCCTCTTCCTTATGCAAGTGGATTAAATTTAAATCTAATCTTCTCCGAAAAATATATAACTTTTACTTCGACTGGAAATGAAATAAATGAAGGGCGGTGGTGCAGGATTGTAGACCCCATGTTTCAGCCAGGTTTTTTTAGCTTTAACTTCATTGCAGTCTAGAGGTTCTGTCTAACTTGTCTGCCTCTTAATTATCCATTTAATGCACTGTGTTAGCGCTGTGCAAACCTTTAACATGTGTCAGATTTGTTGCCTGCTTATCTTTAGCAAAAAGCAGCATGTGTAGTTATTCAGGAGTATGTTTGTTCTGAGGTGTAGGTATGCAGATATCTGCAGATAAAGAATCTGTACCCGAATGCGGGGACACACGTGTGCTTTGATGTGGCTTTCATCTGATGCTGATTTACTTCACAAATATGCACCTCATGTGTTGATCTGTGATAACTGTGTGTGCGTGTGTGGGGCGAGTGTGTGAATATGTGTTTGCACATACAATCACATGCAAAGTAGCTACAGAGATAGAACAAGCGCAAGCATGCATGCTAATGCCATTTATCTATGCATGTTAGATGCATACCTGTGCCCTAAGGCATAAATAAGAACTCTCACAGCCACAGTGATGCAGAAAAGGCTTGCTATGATGCATTAAAGGCACTTTTGACCACATTTTTGAATCTAAAGTGCTGCGTCTGATAACCCACAGTTGTCGTCAACAGTATCGAAAGCATGGTGTAGTTTCATATTGAGTATTTCTCACTCCTAGCTCATTGCAAAAAGCAGAGAAACTCATTCAACTAATCCCAAGTTTGTGTTTGTAAATAGCAGAGGAGAGATTCTATCATGAGTATGTAATGGGGATTTATTGTTGTGAGTAGAGTCTTGTTTTAAAAAGAAATTCACATTTTTCTATGTTTCAGCCATAGTTATAACATTGAAATCACCTAAAAAAGTGCAGACTTGAACTGGTCAATACAGAATGTAAATTGAATGTAATTGTAGGGAATCGGCCTGTAGATATCATATACTTTTCTTGTATTTTAACAAGAAATCTTACCTGAACATTTTCCAACCTCTATCTCTAGAATTAACCTGGCTGTTTTTGTTACTGTGCTCATATATGTATATATGATATAAGGCTGATATACGTATATGTAAATGAGTGCTGTTCTAATTTGCTGCACCACATTTGAAAAATAATGAAATCACAAAAACACTGAAATCAAAACAGGCTGCTTTTGCACCTTAGTTCTTATTTATGGACTGTTAAGACTGAGAACTGAATGATAAGCTTTGAAACGTTAACAGTGTTTATATACTACATGAAATCTTTTATTGAAAAAATAGGTTTTTTCCATGACATCTGCTGTACCTGCATTATTTTCATCTTGGTTTTGTACAGGGGTGGAAAATACTTGAGTTATTGTATCTAAGCAGCAGTTCTCAGACTTTTTAGTCTAAGGCCCCCCTGCTTTTGTGCAGTGCCACTGCACACCTCATTGCTTTTTGTGGCCAGTGGCCCCCAGCTTGAGGACCACTGAACTTAAATATTGTATTTAGGTTCTATTTTGGATGATTCACACTTTATTATTACTAAATAATAAAGGGTTAATAATAGTACTATTACTATTACTATAGTAGTACTAATATTGGTAATAGCATTAGTATAGTTGAATAGTATTTTTAAATTGAATTATTAAAAATATTTGAACTAAATTATTAAGTTCAGTGGCAGAGTTTACCTCTATTCAGTTGTAGACTTTTATTGCTCAATACTCAATTTACTATCAAGATGTAGCCTTATTGTTTACATTTTTTACTTTTATGTCAATACTGCACTTTCTGTAAGCTTTTTTATTACAATTTTTTATTTGAAATATTTTAAGAAAATGACTTGTGCCGGTTATCCCTTCAGTAAGCACTGTTGTATTTTAGAGACATTAGAAAATATATGTTTTGGAATTACAAAAAAAATAAATAAATAAAATAAAATAAAATAAACACAAAAATAAATGTTAGCTAGCATTTCTTTTCTAATTATGTATCAAGAATGTATCATATCATGATACAAAAATAACAGTATGTATGAAATCATGAACCTTCTGTATCATTACACTCTTTCTACTAGGTCTCTACTCACATGTAAGCATGTTTGTGACATCTACCTTGTTAACGCTTTTTTTGAGTGCTTTTTGAGTCTCATGTCTTCCTTTGAAGCACATGTTCAGATGACTTTCTCTTCATTTGAAACACATGTTTGGATGACTCTCAGGGGCATTTGGTCTATTCATCAGAGGCTTTTGCTCACACTTGAGGAGTCAAACGCGAGCATGTTGTCGTTGACATAAAAGGGGGCAAATACTAAGAAATCCTGAAATTCATGTCAATATTTCAAAGATCCTACTTTTCAGTAAAACTGCTATACAAATAGATAATTTGTCATTAGAAAGCTTCTATATGAGCATGTTTAAATGTTGATACTTTTTTACTTTCACTCCAGTATATTTTTGGCTCCATATGTCTACTTTCGAATGAGTAAAGTTGTTGTGCTGTACATATACCTTTACTTGAGTAAAGTTTCCAGTTTGGTTTTGTAGTAGTTGCAGTAGTTTTGTAGTAATGAGGTAGTTTTTAATAATTTATAGTAGCTACTGTATAATAATTCTTAAGATTAATAACTGAAAACAAGCCTGGAGTTTAATGGGTCAGTAAAACATCCTTAATTAAATATGATCTGTCATTTTAGAACATTTGCACCGCATGTTTACATTGGCTGCATAGAATGTTGCGATTATGAAGGTGGTTACTGGAATATCTGCACTCAGGAGAATGAATAAAGTGCTTGTCAACTCTTATTTTGAAGTTAGCCTTATAGA